ACACCCTAAACCCTGGCCAGAATCCCTGAACCTTGCACCCGAACTTACAGCTTTGCGGGAGCCAGGACTTCCGACTTAGTGGGATTAGGTGGCTTCAGGGTTTAGGTGGTTTAAGGGTATCGGGGTTTAGAGGTCATGGTCTAGGGTTTAAGAGACGGTCCGCAACACGAGCCCAGGAACGTTGACAGGCTGAGGTACCTCGGCGGTGCTTGGCTGCTTTGTTCGAATGCATGGGTTTGGGGTTTAGGACAGCTTGGGTATAGGCGGTTGGGGTCTTCAGGGCTTGGGGGATGGTGTAGGCTCCAGGGCTTCGGGGTTCGGGGTTTAGGGGTATGGGATTTGGAATAAACATGTATGACATATACGCTCCTCATAGAAGCCCACACCGGTGCAGGGCTGCCGAGAGGCGTTGACGTCACCACCGGACAGAGCATCCCCCCATGCCACAACAGAACCATCTTCCACTACTGCTGCAAAAGCCCCGTCGGTGGCGTAGATCTGCTGCACCTGCTGCTCCAACCCTCCAGAGAGGTATTTAGTTCCTTGAGATTGGCGTTACCGTATTCCTTAAAACCCATTGCCATCTTCCAGGCTCCGTATTCGGTCCCTAAGTTTCAATTCCCGCATATTGAAAAGGGCAACAAGCAAAGACACGAACAAGAAGAAGCCATGGAAACAAAAACAAGGGCCAGAGCCCTGAAGGGTCTCGGATGTTGCACTGATTAGTGTATAGGGTTTAGGGTTTAGGGTTTTGGTTTAGGGTTTAGGGTTTAGGGTTTTCTGGTTTCGGGTTCCGGCTTTAAGCTTTAGGGGCCCTATACCCTGAGCCCACCTTGTGAGGGCCTTGGAGCCCTTCGCCCAGAACACCGCCATAAAGAGGATGGCCCCAAGCCACCACGGAACCTGCAGACCTTGGCTGTTCTTCAAGTCCGAACCTGATCAATTCAACTCCTTCGTAAGGGTTTACGCCATAATGCTGGACCCTAAACCCTAAACCCTAAATCCCCAAACCCTAAACCCTAAACCCTAAATGCCCAAACCCTAAACCCTAAACCCTAAACCCGTAAACCCCTAAACCCTAAACCCGTTGTTCAAGAACTAGCGACAGCGCTGCAAAGGCGCTTTCGGTCGCCTGGATGTCAGACACATTCCTCCCAGGGAGACACTATGATCTGGGTGACTTAGGGTTTAGGGTTGAGGGTTTAGGGTTTGGGGTCTAGGGTTTAGGGTTTAGGGTTTAAGGTTTAGGGTGACTGCAAACTGATGAACCCGAGACGACTAGCTCAATAGAAGGAAAACACCAACCATCGCTTCACCAGCATCAACAGCATCATCCGCATCATCATCATCATCATCATCATCATCATCAGCAGCAGCAGCAGCAGCATCACCACCATGGTCACCAGCCCAAACAGCATCTGTAACATCATCGTCAGAGTCCTGTTCATCATCATGGCCGTAAAAGATTAATGACACTGACCCTAACGCCTCAAACTCCCAAACCCTGAACCCTGAAGCGTTCTGCCGTCCTCACCTGAACCCTAAACCCCAATTCCCC